ACATTAGGCATATCAATTGTATTTTCCCACTGGAGGTTTAATCGCAGGCCAGTTCACGAGTCTGTGGGAGCCTGTGGGTGTTGCCCAGCGTGGGGACGTGTGCGGGGCAGTCCCCGATGCAGCTGTGAACGCCTTCCAGGCCCCTGTCGCCTTGTTCCTGTGCTCAGCGTGGGGGAAGGGGGGACCGGACAACTTTCTGTTGGTTTTCTCTTTCTAAAGTCGAGAGGGTTTTGGTGTTGACAGGTGCCATGCTTTTAGGAATTGTTTAGACACCTGGTCGCTGGTGCCACTTGGCAGCGTCCGTGGCTCCTGAGCTCTTCTCAGGCGTTTAGAGACGTTATCCCAGCTTTGACACATCTGGATCTTGGTTATTACAGGCGGAGGGCATCTGAGGGCTCAGCAGGGCCCACTCTTCCAGTGTCCTCTGCACCCAGGCTGGAAGGCGCGCGGCGTCCGGCCTGCCGCTCCCCTTCGGGTCCCGGCAGCACTGAGAGCCCGCGGTGGCCAGGCCTGCCATCCCAGCTCCGGGAGGCCGGGGCCCGAGGATCGCAGCCCGACGCCGGCCCGGCCAGGAGGGCCGCCAGTGACCCGCCGGACAGGCCCGAGGGGAGCCGCCGCCAGTGACCCGCCGGACAGGCCCGAGGGGAGCCGCGGCCAGTGACCCGCCGGACAGGCCCGAGGGGAGCCGCGGCCCGGTCACGGCGCACGCTGGCCTGGAGCTAAACCAGCTCAGGGTCAGCGCCCAGGCCCTGTGGAAGGCCCAGGACCAGCATTAAAGGTAAGTAAAAATAAAAGGTTGTGTGTGTGTATAGTTGTATGTATATAAGCATGGATAATACGCTATATATATGTGTGTATGATATATACACACAGTTTCACAGTGGACACAGCTTCACCTCGGACGCCCGCCGCCCGGCCGGCTCGGGGCCCCGTCCGCAGCCGCCCTGCGCTCGGGTGGGTAAAGACGGACGGGTGGGAAGCCCCCGCGGGCAGCCCGGGCCGCGTGGCTTCGCCCGGCTCGTGGAGGGCATCTTCTGGAGGCGGGCGCCATCGGGTGGCCAAAGCGGGCACTGCGTCCTCGGGCTTGCATAACAGACGGGCGTGACGGGCGCCACCGCGGAACAAGCAGCGGAAAAAGCAGGCGTTCCAGTGTGCCCGAGCCCTGCGGGGCGGGGTGCAGCGAGGGCCCGCGCGGGGGGCGCCGACGGCCCCGGCCTGGGAAGGCCTCCGAGACTCTCCAGAGAAGGGCGCAGAACCGGACGCGACCCGCGGAGACCCCGCGGCCAAGGGGCGAGCCGGACGCACCCCGCAGGCCCCGAGGAGGCGGAGACGGGCATCGGTGGAGGGCACGCCCCGCGAGGGCGGGCTTCTGGGCTCACGGCTGGAGCAGGTGACAGCCGCGGGCCGCAGAGGCCGGTGTGCCCGGCACCCAGCGGGCCTGGGGAGCCGGAGCCCGCGGCTGTGGCCTCATTTACACCCCTAAAGGCGACCCGGGTCTCCCTGACTCGGGGGACAGCGCGCCCTCTGCTGTCGGCGAGGAAAATCCGAGGACGCACCCCTGGTGGAGGCCGCGGCCAGGCCCCCGCCCCTGCAGGGTGACGCCCGCAGCAGCCCAGCGCCCCGCGGTCGTCTTTGGGTAGAGTGTGACTGGAGGGCGCCACCCGAACGTGCCTGTCCCTTCTCACTGCAAGCCCGGGACAGCTGACGTGGCTTGTGCTCCTCAGAAAGAATGGGATAATCCCTCTGAGCTCTGACTATGGTAAAATTTAAAAAAAAAACCAAGGCCTGTTAAGGCAGCCCACCCAGTTAGCAGCTGTGATGGAAGGAAGGCGCAGTCTCACACAGTTCAGTGTCAGGGCCGGGGAGGTGGCTCGGTGGTAGAGGGCGTTGACCAACATGCACGAAGCCCTGGGTTCGATCCCGCAGCACCACATAAAGAGAAAAGATGGAACTGGCGTTGTGGCTCAAGTGGCAGATCTCTAGCCTTAAGCAAAAGAAGTTCATGGACCGTGCTCAGACCCTGAGTTCAAGCCCCAGGACTGGCAAAAAAGAAAAAAAAACACCAAAAAACCACAAGAACAAAAGAACAGTTTACTGTCAAAAGTTTACTCTGCCAAGGGGTTAACCGGTGCCTTCTTCCCTCTACCCTTTCCTTCCATCCTCCCCCCACTCCACATCGCTGTCTCTCCATCTCTCTCCTTCTTCCTCTTCATATAACACACCATGGGTTCACATCCAGTAACAATGCAGGGTGAAATCCACCTTGCCAGCTTCCTGTCTTCTGAGACAACTTTTGGGTTGGCCCTCTTTACCTTCTGAGCAGCTGTCTGAACCTTCATGCCCACACCTGGCTACTGGACAGTGCACTGACTACAATGTGCCCCACATTTACCTTAAAATCACAAAGGGGCAATTCTATAGATCTTTTTTTTTTTTGTCGTTGTTGTTGGTTGTGGGGCTTGAACTCTGGACCTGAACACTGTCCCTGCACTCTTCAGCTCAAGGCAAGTGCTCTACCACTTGAGCCACAGCAACACTTCTGGTTTTCTGGTGGTTTATTGGAGATCAGAGTCTCATGGACTTTCCTGCCCAGGCTGGCTTTGAACCGTGATCCTCAGATCTCACCTCCTGAATAGCTAGGATGACAGGCGTGAGCCATTGGCACCTGGCAATTCTATAGATTTTTAAAGTAGAATTCGGGGTTAGAGTCCTCTACAAAGACTTCCAAACAATTTTCTTAGCATTATTTCACATAGCTTCAGCTGAGAAAACACATTTACAGTATATTTAAAATATGCAATAAGATATATTAAGATAAATTTTACACAACCGAATTGTCTCCTTTCCATGGAGAAGTTTCAGAAGTGTGTGGAAAGTGTCCTGAAAGGAAGACAAGCATCCCGGGCGCTCTGTACACTCCTCTGAGGAGGAGGAGGTGAGCTCCCGAGAGCAGGGTGACTTTGTGGGAAGTTTTCCCGGCTAGGGAGGGGGAGGCAGGTGGAAACCAGTTCATCTTGCTGCTTGAAACTTGAGAAGGGGGCTGCTTCCGTGAGAGAAAGTGGAGGTGCCTTGACCGCAAGCGTGGTGTGCCCGAAGCGCACTACCGGATGGGACCCTGTTGTTTCTACACAGCCCACAGTAGACAGAGATCTCCAGCTACACGTAAGGCTTTCCAAAATGGGCCCTTCTGATGGTTTATCCAGATACAATAACGGTGTGTCTTTCTTCTATCAAGTGTGTGTGTCTCCCCAGGACTCAGTCCCGCCACCTTGGGTAGGATCTTTTTCCAATAGCGACACTGTGTGGTCTCAAGAAGCAATGGCAGTAGACCAACGCATCTCAAGTTCATTCCTAGCCAGTATGGAAGCTAGGATGTCCCCTTGCAGCCCACAAACCTCAGAGCTGTCAAGGGTCCTGACGATTTAGGGGAGAGAGAGAATGCTCAGAAGAAAGTTGAATACATCCTATTAATGAACCATGAGTGCATGCAGTTCAGTGATTTTTAGCTAGAATCATTGGAAAAATTAAAGGCTACCCTGAGTTTGTGCAGCAGTTCTTGTGCGCAACAGAGCTCAAAAAACATGATTAATGGCATGGCTCTTACCCTGAGCTCTTTGCAGTTATTTACATGCCTCACAGTCTATGACGTAATAGTGTTTGCTGGTAGGAAGACATATTTAGTGATCTATGGTTTTAGGAGTGTAATTGCTATCGCTTAATGACTACATGGATGTCTGTCTGCTTTTGCCTGCCCAGCGTTTTCTCTTCCACTGGAAACTCAAGCTCTTCCTCTGTGAGCAATGCCTGACTCCTTTAAGTCATCCCTCTCAGCCCTCAAGGTGGCCTTGGTCACGTGACAGGCCCTGCCTGTCAGCACTCAGGTCTTTTTGGCCACAGTGACTATAGAACAGGCCTAGGTAGTTGAACTCAGAGCACCACTTTGCCTCTTTGCTGTTGGAATTATTTGATAAGACCAATCCTCCTTATCTGTTAGTGTGGAATTGAGGCTGCCTGCGGCCATCTTGCCACTGAAGTATGAGAATGGCCATTCAGAGAGGAGGAGGACAGGAGTTGAAGCCCCTGGTGGTGTGTTAAGGCTTCTGAACACGCTTTGCCTGAAACTCCAGATCTATTTTATAAGTGAAAAAATTTTTGTGGTTGTGTTTTGTTTTCTGAGATGTTATTGCTGGCCTTGAACTTAGGATCTCCTGTCTCAGCCTACGAGGAACTGGGATTATAGGCATGCGCTGTTATACTAATCTCTATGTCTTTGAATGAGGACATATGCATGCATGTATATATACATATAAACATATATATACACACACGAGCTTAAGTGAAGGTTATATGTTCGAGTATAGTGAGCAGCATTTCAGGAATCCATCCTTTTTTGACTTTTAAGATTCACTAGAATCATTGATCAAATTGTTCTTTTTTTTTAATTTGATGTGTGTGTGTATGGTGAGGAGTTCTGGGGTTTGAACTCAGGGCCTTGCATTTGGTTGGTGGATGCTTTACCACTTGAGCTATCCTCTAGTCCTTTTTGCTCTAGTTATTGTTTGAATAAGGTCTCAAGATGATGTCCTGGTGTCCAGGACTGTGAGTCTCCTATTGATGTTTCCTGTCGTTGTTGAAGACGGCATCTTGTGGCCTTTTCCCCAGGGATGGCATTGAGCCGCGGCCCTCTAGTCTCTACTTCCAAAATAGCTAGAATTGCAGAGGTGGGCCACTGTGAACCACTCTAACTTGGTTTAACATCTTCATAATTTGAAAATCTTTGAGGTTCGGTTGCCGTCAGACTCAATTTAGCTCATTCATATAGCCACAGAAACTTAGCCACAGCTTTTTATCGAGCAAGCTTCATGTTGGGAAAGTGACCAAGGAGTAAAAAGTGGTCAGGTTGGCAAACCTCCAGGGAAGAAGCTGAGGAAACCCTCTTTTCTCCATCAGTAAGTCTTGGGTCCCACACGCCTCCGATTGCCCGAGGGTCCGGCTGAGGATCAGTGAGGTAACACGCCCTCGGTCTCCAGGGTGAGCGATGGACAGAGGGAACATCTCAGCCGCCACAAGATGCTCCTGCTCAGGACTTTGGGCAGTATGTTGACTAGGATATCTGGATTTATAAAACTTAAGTGGAAGACTAGGTATCCCAGCAGTCTTGTGAAAAATAGAGTGGTAAAAAAGAGAGTACGAAAAATCCTGGGAAGAGAAAGACAAGAAACTGTTAGTGGTGAGGACCAGAGCTCTAAGCCACCACTGACTGCATGTTGGTTCCTTCCTGGTATCTCAGTGTCTCCCACTAAAGGTCGTCTTCCTTTCCTAGCCTTTTCTTTCACAGCATGGTTTAATTTTTGGTAGCATTTACCACTATGTGAAACCCAGAGTCTTGTACATGCTAGGCAAAAATTGAACCGTATCCTCAGCCATCATTGTTTTTTCCAACAGGTCTCACTATGTAGCTCAGGTTGGCCTCTTAACTTCTGACCCTCCTGTTTCAGCCCCGATAGTTACTGGATTACAGGCATGTGCCACCATGCCGGGTTATTTTTGTTTTACATGTAATTTTTGTCTTGGTAGATTGTTTTTCAAAGCCATCACATCAAATTGTACCTCTCTAGCAGGGTACTTCTCTGTACCCACATTCTTCTCCAACACTTGATAGCATCAGAGAAGTTTGCCAGTCAAATGGGAATGACAAATCTCCTCTGAGCTGTTTGCATGTCCCTAGGCTCAGTGTTACTGAACACCTGTTTATAGCTCAGTGTTACTGAACACCTGTTTATAGCTCAGTGTTATAGCTATAAACACCTGTTTATAGCTCACTGTTACTGAACACCTGTTTATAGCTTTGTTGGTCTTCTGTGCTTTCTTTTGCTAATTTATCTACTACAGATTTAGGGTTTTCATTTTATTCAATTCTATAAAGTAACCTTTGGGGAAATTGAAACTGAATTGAATCTGGTAATCTTTTGGAGACCATATAAGTATTTTTTAAAATCTATGTTCATGGTATTTCTCTTATTTCATCCATGCTATCTTTAATATTTCCTAATGTTTATAAACTTCTCTGAAAATCTTGATTTTTTAAATTAACTTATCTTCTTTAAAATGTTTTGCATGCAGTCCCCATACCACAATAATAATAATAATAACAGCAACAACAACAAAAGTAGAACAATTTCAACAAGTACATTTTCCCTATCCAACAAATAACTGGCTTCTTCTGCCTTAGGTTAGATGCTCTACCTACCCCCATTTACCCCACAGAAACCACCCTCCCCCCAGCTCTCTCAAATGTCCCTCTCTATGGTTGACCGTTGTGACAGGAGCCATTCTAGCACAACATTCTGGTCAGAATTGGAATCAGAGCTCTTGACAAATCTCCTCCTCCTCCTAAACCTGAAACAAGATCCACTTTGGATAAGAAGGTTCTGGGATGAGAAGATTCTGGGACTGTTCTCAGGGGAGGTCCCAGGGACAGCCTAGCTTTCATCTTGAACTTTCCCTACAGGAAAGACGGCGTTTTTCATCAGGTCCCTGGGAACGATGCCTCTCATCAGGCAGGGGCTGCTTAGCCAGAGCAGTCCTTCCAGAGGAGCAGAGTTCTGGGGAGTTGTGCTGGTTGCTGCAGAAATGTGGGATCCACAGTACCTCACTTACATGGTATAAAAGGGTATCTCCTTGAGATAAATCTCCAGACAATTGGAGCTGACCTTTAAGCACCCATAATTTTAACCATTTTGATGGAACTCTTTCTAAACCTATTCCAGACCACTTTGAATATATGTTTTTTTATGTCTTCTCAAACAGATCATAGGGAATGTAATTTGACCTTTTTTTTCTTGAAAATGCGGGAGCTTCGTGAATACCAATTTCACTTTGCTATTACACTGTTCCCTTGAGAGTAATATCCATGCAGGTGTTCAAATCTTTGAGTTCTCACTTGGCTAACAAGTATTTTTTTTCTAGCAGTTGTCATGTGCCGGACATGATTAGGTTCCTCCTTTCGCAGTTGTCTCTCTCTTCCTGTCTGCTCTAGGGTGCTGCTGTGCTGCCAGCTGGGACTTCCTTCCTCAGTTCTAGTCTGTCCATGCTATGGAAAAATGCATACTTGAAGCTATTTCTAATTATTAAAGGGAAAACAGTATTTCACCTTCTCTCACCTGATCAGATCCCATTTCTCATTATTTGAGGGTTTTGGTTTCTAATTCTGGAAAGCTGAGATTAATAATATACTTTGGACAAGGACATCATAACTCTAGAACTAAGATACACGGTGACTCTAGTTTGCTGACGTAAGTATGTATGTGTGTGTGTTTGTATGTGTGAGTGCATGTGTGCATCTGTGTGTGTGTGTGCATCTGTGTGCGCGCGCGTGCGTGTGCACGCCTCCCAGGCTCTCCTCATCTATATATGTGGCTTCTCTGTCAGGATGGCCAGGGTAGAGTTCTAGTTTCCCAGGAAGTTACCTTGAAGATATTTTGCATACCTTTTACCGAACAATGTTGATCTTTTAAGAATAGAATTATACTACAAGAAAAAGAAAGGGCATTGATAAATAAGTGATTTGTGGACGTTGTTATCATTGACAAATGATATTCAGCAAGTCATTAACAAAACGCAACATTTACATAACATCTCACCCATTCTTTTCATATGTACAGCACATATAATTTCAGAGATCAGTTTTAACATATCATTGCTATTACGATGATTATTCTACTAGAGAACTGGGGTTGGAACTCTGTGCTCTGTACTTGCCAGGCCAGCTCTCCACCATTGGATCCACACCTTTAGCGCTTTCTGTTTTCCGTTACGTTTCAGATCAGGTCTGGGGCAGTGACATCTCCAGAGCAGCTTGGATCACAGTTACTGCCACTATACCCAGCTTATTTATTGAGAGTGGGATCTCACTAACTTTTTGCCTAGGTTAGGCTAGTCTGATCTGTACCTCACCTCATTAGAGCTATGGCCCACTGTGCCTGGCATGCTTGTTGGCTCTTTTTGATGGGATCGTACTATGTAGTTCAAAGTTGGCCTCCCGAGTCTGTACCACTATGCTGGAACCTAGTCGTCCTGAAACTATCGTTTGTACAAAATCCTGTAGCCAGTAAGAGCTATGAGGTTTCTAGGCCAGGCCTGGATATTGGATCTTTTGCTGTTACATTCTTGCTCTCTAGGCTATGAGAACCACACAAACATATCCCGAGACAAGTTTTAAAAGCTACAAAGATGTAAAAGTGAGAAGTCTTGATTTCTGTGACACCACTCTCCCAAATTATTTTCAGTTATTTCATTGTTTTTTTTTTTATCTTACGTATGTGATCAAAAGGAAGAAAAGCTGGGTCCAGGTGGCTTACAGTTGTAATCCTAATTATTTAGAAGGCTGAGATCTGAGGATTGAGGTTCAAAGCCAGCTGAGGAACATACATCTAAGACTCATCTGCAATTAACAGCAAAAAGCCAGAACTAGAGGTGTGGTTCAAGAGTGCCATCCTTCAATGAAAAAAACAAATGGAAGAAAAAGTATCATGTAGCTGGTAGAGCAGGCTAAGCTTGATTTTGCAAAACTGGGTCCAGTTAAATTTAGGAGTCTGTTGGCTTGAATGTGCCAGAATGGCTTGTGCAGAATGTGGTCACCACGGCTATGTTCTCACATATACTCAGACATCTGGGTGGTCTCTGGATACGGGGCAGTAACTTACGTTTTAAAGAGATGAGTTCTTTTTCCTGAGGTCATTGAGACTCTCTTAACTATATAAGATTTCCGGTGACTTCAAGCCAGCGTAACTCATAAAATTAGCACGTAGAAGTTTGTCTGTTGAACCAGTGTGCCTGATGCCACATGACAGCAAGCCCTGCATGGGGAAGTTCTTCATCTTTCAGAGCTTTGCATGAAAGCTACTAACTTCATGAGGCTGACTATGGGGAGACGCAGAAGTTGTACCATGAAGAAGCAATGGCTTTCTATGTTTTAGCTCATGGGCCAACTGAAATTAAATGGTGACAGGTATCTGGTGCTCTGTGAAAAGTTTGGGACCGTGTTGGGATGAATAGGAACGAGTACTGTGGTTGGAGGAGAAGGAAGAGGGGTGGTGTACGCACCATGCGTCCACCTCTTTCTGTAGCATACATTCAATGAATGATCCTCTCTACTTACATTTGCAACACAAGTCTTAGAGGAGTTGTCTGGGGTGACTTTTATTTGCATAGGTGGAAGAACAGGAATCATATTGTTTCTTAGCAACTTTTTTTATCCTGTTGTTAAGAGTTAGATTCCTTGGAACTAAGGCTGGCAAGTCTTGGAACATGCACACAAGAAGATTGGGTATGTACCTACTGCTATGTAGCTTTTAAAACTTCTTGGAAAGGCTGAGAAGGGCTGAAGAGAAAATGAAGTGCTCACCTTGTGATTTTGGCTGTCTTGAGTGTTTTTCACAGAGTCCATGCTTAAGACTTTTGATCTGTGAGGAAAAGAGCCAAGAAAGAGATTGAAGAAAGCATTCAAGCACTCATAATACGGGAGTGCTATTTACAAACAGTTCAATATTGTAGTCACTATAGCTGGTTTAATTTACATTAATTAAACCAAAACTTCAGCTCCTCTGTGACACTAGCCATCTTCCGAAAGTGCTCAGTTGTCACCTGTGGCTCCCTTTTGGATAGCACAGAATGTTCTGTTAGGCAGCGCAGTTCTAGTATCATAGTGATAGACTTGAAGGGAAACTTCCTTTAGGAGCAAGGACGTCCATGCTTGGGACTCCAGCTGCTAGACTGCTGTCCTTATAGGACATCCCAGAGGACCTGTGTGGTTTTGGCCTTTTGTTCTTGATCTGGACATCCTCAAATATTTAACAAATAGAAATACTTTTTGGCTGAGTTATTATTTCACTTTCAAAGAGGGTGAAAAATAGGGGTAAGTTTTTCATTTTGGACTAATAGCATTTATATTCTTGACAAACAGGAATTTGGCCGGGGGCAGATTTTCCTTTATGACTTGTAATTTTTGATGTTCCTCATTAAATGCATTGTATGGTTCTGGTTTCGTAATGCGTGAGCTGTAGTGTGTTTAGAGGGGAGTTACAGGCCTAGCCCGTAGGTGTTGGTGAAGTGAGGATGATATTAATTTTAAGGTCCTTCTTTGAAATATAAGGGAATATTCCCCTTACCGAAATCCTTGCCCACTAACACTTTAAAAAATATATGTTTCATAATACCAGCCCAAATAACAGTGTGATGAGATTATGAAGGGAGATAGGTTTCTATGGCCTTTAAGACTGGAGTTTTAAAGTTGGTGTGGTCTAGCAGGGCTAAAGCAGGTCCCAGAGGAGGGAAAGAGTGCTGGGCCCACTCAGTTCCAGAGAGGAACTGGGCTGAGATGGGGTTACCACTAAACCAGGCTGCTTCTCTGCCAACGCTCACACTTCTCTCTCAAGGAATTGGGTCTCTCGTTCTTCTTCTATTCTTCTCAAAGTTTCCTGGTACTTCTTCAAAGACAAAGGAAGTTACAGTTATGACTTAGATACTTCATGATTTTCCTAAGCATGCAACGACTACTTACTCCTCCCCAGTGTGAGTGTTTGGTACTCCCACCATCATGCCCTCCTCCTTCGAGAGACCCCAACCGCCACCTCCACCGTTGCTCAGCACTGGCTGGCTTCTCCAGGGCCAGTGGGGTGAGGAATAGCAGAAGTACTCGCCATTCATCTAAGGATGCGAGGACATTAGAGTGACATGGGGTGTGCGGGGGTGGATGGGACTGATGACCTTGAAATCTCTGCACTGCCATGTTGAAGAGTTAAAATGCTTCTAGCTAGCCCTCCTTGAGCAGCCTGGTTCCCGTTCAACCTGTACCTTAACAAGCTCCCACTGTTCCCGGCCTGGGCAGCTGTCCGTACCTTTATGCAGAGGGCTTGGTCTTCACAGAGCTGGGCCACAAGCACATAGTCTTGCATTACCTGGAAACCAACACTGGCCTTACGTTTCTCTCAGTACATTGCTCCCCAACAGGAGTATAAGCTATGTCATAGAACCAGTGTGGTTTTCTAATTGTTGTAAATGTTATTCGGTTGTGCATCTGAATTCATCTCATTTTCCCCAGATAAACCCTATTTTACAGCTCAACTAGAAATGGTGGAGGCAGTTGGAGGAGGGACAGATATTAACATACTGGTTTACAGGGAACAAGTTAAGGTGAAGGCAATCTGAGGATTGTATATCCACATTCCTTTCCTTACCCCATCCTAGCCTCATAATGTTCCTGAGTCAGGAATATACATCAGTCATTTGAGGAATGTACTGGAACTGGCTTAGGGTCATGTTTCCCTTTCTTGGGGAGACATATCAGTGAAGTCAGTCGGTGTTACCTTGGCCAGCTCCTTCTCTTGGTCTGTGCAGGAAGTTTCCAGCTGCTGCAGCTTCATCTGCAGAAAGGAAGGGATGGTGAGTGAAGAGGTACAGGCCGCAGGGTTGGCGGGCTTCCTTGATGCCCGTCTCACAGTTTCAGGTGTTGGTGGGGAGTGAAGCCTCCCAGTGCTCCCTACAGGTGCTTGAAGAATGTTTACACAGAGCGTCTGTCTGCTGCTACCTGTACCCAAGCAAGCTTCAGGATTCTTTGCTTCCTTCTCTCACTAAGCTACTTCCATTGGAAATTACTCTAATATTGGAAAACTTTACTCTCTTATGAAGTCAGTTTGACTGGACAGTTTTTGTGCGCTCTCTCCCTATCTCTGTATTCTTTGGTTCAAGACCAGGACTTGAACTTGGTATTTCATGTTTTCTCTCATTGGCTAGTGCTCTACTAACTGAGCTGCACCTCCAACCCCTTGCTCACTTTTGTTTTGTTTTGTTTTGTCAGTCATGGGGCTTGAACTCTGGGCCTGGGCGCTGTCCCTGAGCTCTTCAGCTCAAGGCTAGCGCTCTACCACTTGAGCCATGGTGCCACTTCCTTGCTCACTCTTTTATACCTTCTGTATTCCTCTTTTGCTCTTCTCTTTCCTTAACTATTTGCTGAAAGACTATTCTGTATTACTGCTTCTGTATCCAAGGCTGTTGGGGGAAATGGGACTGACAGGCCTTTTCCCTATACAGATGATATTTTGTTGAGAGATTCAGCAAAAGAGCATGATAATGTTGTGCTCCATATTTGACACCAGGCAAATAAAAATGTGATACCTGAATTGGAATCAAGGTTATCAATATCACTCAAATGGAGATTCAGAAGGGACATGGTCCATGGGGGTTTACTGCCAGGAAGCAGCGCGCAGGAAGTAGAAGAGGGTGGCAGGAAGAAGAAAAGGCGGGAAAGGCCATCTGAGACTAGATTGTGTATAGCCTTACAGCTTCTAGAAGGGATTTGAATCTTCATTCCCACGCCACTAAGAAAGGAAGAGTGGGTTTAAAGTATGAACATACAGTCTTATTTGTGGGGCTTGAATTCAGGGCTTGAGCACTGTCCCTGACCTTTTTTTTTTGCTCAAGGCTAGATCTCTACCAGTTGGGCCACAGCTCCATTTTTGTCTTTTTGGTTATTAATTGGAGATAAGAGTCTATCTCATGGATGTTTCTGACCAGGTTGGCCTCAGATCTCAGCCATCTGAGTAGCTAGGGTGATAGGTGTGAGCCTGGACTCTGTTGAGAGCCTGGAATCTGCTCCTGTATTTAATTTCCTCAGTGGCTTCACGCACACAGAACACATGGGTTTTAAAAGTTAGATTAGGACAAATACTGCTGTTCTGGAGAAAAGGTCAAGACTGTACAATTAATTGATATGAATAATTTTAAAAGAAAGAATTTTATTTGCTTTCTGAATACAAAAAAGTCTTCGTTCTTGTTTTTGACCAGATGAATTATGGTTCTTACATCTGGAATATATCATTAAGAGAAATGCTGAACATTGTCATATGATTAGGAAGGAGAGGTCGTTGAATGCCGAGTGGCTAATGAAGCACTCAGCAGACTTACAAGACCTCTTTCTTTATGAACACATATGTGTGCTTTAGCTCAGCTTTTAAATAACAACTTTAAAATCTTGTGACTTTGTGAGGGTTTAGCCATGGAATCAAAGAAAGAATATTTTTATACACAATCTTATTTAATTCTGGAACAGAGACTGAGAGGGGTGATTTAAGAGCCCAGGCTAACATACCAGGCTAATAAACCCTGGAGCCAGGGTTTCAATGGAGGAGCTTCAGCAGCCTTAGGTATATTATAGGATTTGTGTGCTGCTCTGCCAGATAGCAGGGAGACCAGAGTGAAACTCTTCACCAAGGGCAAGAAAGAGAGTTCAGGATTCAGTGGCTCAAGCTTATGCCTGCTAGGGGAGAAATAACTTCTCAAAATCTTGGCCGTTGCTTCCAACTTGACAGCTTGTGTCCCGTAGCCCAATCCCGTTGGGACTGCAATTTCTATTTACCTTTGACTCTTCTGGGGTTCTGTCCAGACTGCCTTGTTCGAACTTGGTTGTCTTGTAGGACTTCCTTGTAAGCTACAGTTCAAATAAAGACTTACGTTAAAAGGAATCGGTGTAAACAGAAAAGATCCTCGAGTGTGTGTGGACTACACTGTGGCTTGATGAAAATGTTTGGAGGTGGTCACTGGGGAGGTACTCAGTGTCTCATGGAAACCTGGACTACCACTCCTCTCCTCGCTCACTAGTCCAGTTACCCGACTTGGAGGCACCGATGCGGGGGCGGGGGCGCGTCCGTGAGCTTCTGCTTCATGCTAGACCACCCAAGGGCACTGGGACCTGAGGTAGAAGATGTGACTAGACTAGTAGGTGATTAAGTGACTTAGGGTGTGTGTGTGTGTGTGTGGAGAGAGAGAGACAGAGGGAGGGAGAGAGAGTTTTAAAGTCTGTGGAAAGTAAAATTAACCTGTCACTGTAGCAGTCCCAGTCAATCTCTTGGACCAGAGTACCTGTTGGAATACATTTTCTTGTGACAAAATAAAGAACCCATGGGGTCATTAAACATACCGCTCACTCCTTCCTCCTCATGCTTGCAGAGAGAATGAATGGCACTGAGATCAGGAGCTGCAGCTTGGGAAAGTAGGCCAGAGAGCCGTGCCCATGCCAAGCCCAGGCTTCTCTGACACATACTTTCCTTCATGACCCATTCTTATCCCTCCCCTCTTTGGTAAGTGAGGGTACTGAGGGGGCCTTGGGGAACACAGAAGCCCCCCACCTTTCTCTGAAGTTCCGTTATACTGTGGACCAGCGTCTCATTCTTCCTTTCCTAGGGAGAGAAAGAAGCAGAGTGTTCAACCTGCACCGGTCTACCTTCATCTGTAATCATCTAGCGGTGGCTGGCACCCTAGCAGAGTTTTCCTGCAGTTGTTATACCTAACAACTGTAAGGGGGTGTGGCAGGGCCACCGGTGAAGGGCATGCTGACACACCACTTCTCTGTATTGACATTAGCAGAGAGCCCCTGCCCTCCCCACACATGCTTCCATGCGGGACACATTCTATCCTGACCCTGGAGTTGACTTTGTGAACAGATTTGCTCTCTAACCATGGATGGGGGCAGGAAGGGGAGTGAACTCATTGGTGACTTCCCTAGCTTCTCACTTACCAGTCTGGCTGTTTCTTCTTCCAGCTCCTGCAAGGCTGCCTCCTCTTCTAGTAAGGAACGGTTTTCCTTCTCCCACTCCTCCTCCTCTGCTGGGTCTCCAGTCTGGGTGATCTCACTTTCCAGCCTGGACGATACAAACAACACCCTGTGAGGGCCTGGGATCGGCAGTGAACCAATGAAACACAGTTGCCTGGTAGAGGGAATTCCAGTGATGGTGTGTGTGCATGGGTCTCAGGTGGGAAGCCTTTCTTTACTGAATCCACAGAATCAGATGCCTTCCAAGTTCTCTCAACTCAGGCAGACTCTACCCAGTTTCAAAGAAACTTGTTTGAAACTTGCTATTTTAGTGTTCTGGCCACAGAAAACTGTCAAAGAACAGAGGGGACACACACACACACACACACACACACACACACACACACACACACACACACA